GGGTTTGAACCGCCAGCCTTCTGGTTAGCAGTCAAGTGCCTTAGGCACTATGCTGCCAGAGCTCCCACAAGCCTTTTGGTTAGCAGCCAAATTGCCTTAAGCCACTACACCACCATTTACCTTTCGCACTTAGCAAAAGCACTGTGTACACAGGAAGCATTCAGTTTCTGTTTGTTGAAATGAATTATTTCATTTGATTCCCCCAATAACTTTGTAAGAGAAGTTATTATTCCTTTTTGACATCAACCAAGGCACAGAGATAGTAAATAACTTGCTTAACATCTAAGAAGCAGAAAGCAGTCTTCTGGTCCATGTTGGAAAGAGTTTACTCTGCTATGGAATGAGGTGAGCAGGCAGCATGCTCCAACAACACTACCAGGAAGCTGGTTTTCTACCCAGACTGCCAGTGGCCTGAAATACCAAATTAGAATCTGTACTTTTACCAAGGTATTCTCATGCACATGGAAGTTTAGAATGCACTGGTATATACTGCACTACCAAATGGTTAACCCTTCTTTTTGTGAGATTTATGTAACCATGTGTGCTTGGTCTAACTATGCTCTGCTCTTCCTTGGGGTGGACTATGGGGAAGATAGAAATTACCGTTTCTTCACAACTTGTGAAAACAGTTCCCAGGGAGGACTCTAAGGAATCTTACTTCCTAGGCTCTCTTCTGTCATTGACTCTGAGGAGGGCTCCCACAACTATTCCTGGGTAAGATGGATCCTCTCAGGAGGAGGGGCTTCAGACTGCTGGCCTCTTCTCTTGAGAGCCAGCCTGGGTGCTGGCCCAGTCAAAGGGAGTGCTCTGGGAGGCACTGGTGATGCTGACTAGTGAGCCACTGCCATGGGCAAGAGGGTATCTGTTACTCAGGGACTCTTGAGGATGGCTGGGTTTCTTGGGATCCTGATGCTGTACCAGGGAAGGCAGGATGGGTCTTCCCTTCATCTGACCATGGGAAGAAGAAATGAGACACTTGCATTTTGGTGTCCAAAGTAAAACTAGCTGGAGATAACAGATGTACAGTACTGTTACATCAGCAGATGTGTTCAGGAGCACTGAGTAAATTCCATGGGCTGTGGCTGACTGCCTCACAGTAGTAATCTTTTCCTGACACACTTAGTAATTGTCTAGGGTGTAAGGAAACTCAGTTTAAGGTTTTCTTAAAACTGAAAATACAAAGCATCCAAGCATTGCTTTGAGTCATAAGGTATATAGAAGAAATTTTTAGCCACTAGCAGATTGCTGATGGAGTGTGCAACCTTAAAATTAACCCAAGTGTTGACTTGTTTTATCTCCCCACCTGTCTTCAAGGTTGGCCTCCGACAGCTGGACATGTCCCTGCTCTGTCAACTCTACAGCCTCTACGAGTCAATTCAGGAGTACAAAGGAGCATGCCAGGCAGCCTCCAGCCCAGATTGTTTGTATGCTCTGGAAAATGGTTTCTTTGATGAAGAGGAAGAGTATTTCCAGGAGCAGGGCCGGCTTCATGGCAGGAGGGAGCGAGGAGTCCCACGGGACATGGCACTGCCTATCTCATCCCTGTCTAGCAGTGACTGGATCCTGGAGTCCATCTAGGGTCCTCAGGAGGACTGTGACTGTTGGGGATACTTTTACACATTAGCACTTGCTTCTTCTCTTGCAAATGCTCCTTTCAGGGCCTTCCAGTACTCCTCCACTGAACAGCTCAGCATATGGGATGAACACTGCCAGTTTAATTTGTGAGCAGGCCTTCATCAACACATGTGGGTAGTCTGTTTTGATGGCTGGGGTTTCTGCCTATACAAACTGGGGTGCTTAGCAGTATCTGTGACCTCTCTCCTGGTGGGGATTCATAAGATACATCGATGAGAGTGTCCCTGCAAAATGCCTTAGTAGGTTGGTATTATGCTAGATGACTTGTCTGGTTACTTCCTTGTAGATAGTAGATGATTGACACCTTCCTTGTGATAGGGCTTCTGCTTCAAGGTTAGGATATATGAAAAGTTACATCTCACTGTTCTTCCTTGGTACCTTCTACAGTTGTTCTTGGTATTTAAATGAGCTTTCAAGTCGTTTGGTGCAGTTTTATTTATTTGTAAGCTGCATTACTAACTGCCCAGGCAACTCAGTGAAAACTTTTTGCTGAAGAAGAGAACAGATCAGATCACACCAATCAACTGCTGTTTTTCCTCAATCTATCAAAAAATGTAGGTCATTCTTTGTCTATCAGTTATAGGTAGAAAGAAGATAGGTTAAATGAAAAAAAAAAAAAGTTGCAAGCTAATGTTTTATATCCTTCATTGTAAGATCGTAAACTTTGTTTTTAAAGATTCTGAATGTAAACTAGTATGTTTAGGATGTACTAGTATGTACCAGTAAACTAATATGTAAGCTACCCTCCTCTGCTTAAAACAGTAATTACCTTAAGCCTTAATATATTTATTAAACAACTTCATGACAAGTCCACACTTTGTAGGTTATAATGACTATAAAATGCTATCTGTAGATACATATTATTTTTGTCTGGATAGAATCACCAACTTTTATAACATGAATACATTGAACCAAAACAAATACTGAAGATAATTTCAACTTGTTTTCTAGACATTAAGAATCTGAAAGACACTTTATTCCTCTTTTGACCTGGTTCTGGAGTCATTTTATTGATAGGTCTCAGCAACTGGTTAAGTTTTTGTTTTGCTTTGTCTGTGGTAAAAATGTATACAACAACAAAAAAGCATTTGTCAATTCAATAATTTCTACATGAAAAATTCAGTGACATTGATTACATTCTTCAAGTTGTGAAACCATTCTCACTTATCTTTTTACTAGTCAGATTTTGAATACTCCAGGCCCCTTGCTTCCTTTCCATTCTAGACGAGATTACTGCTTCCTAGCACCTCTTTCAGGGTTAGGGAGAGGAAGTAAAACTCAATATCACAAACCACCAAGAGTTGACAACCTGATGTGTCCATGACTCTGTGCTAGGAGCCGTCTAGGTACAAAGAAGAAAGAGTATTTCTGCCTGATTTCTCTGTTGAATGTAGGGTCTAAAATGAGGGGTGGCAGTACATTGCCTTCAGTGGTGTAATGCCTTTAGTGGTTTAGTTTAGCTTTTTTTCATTGAAGATAAGAAGACTGAAAGTGATAAGACCAAGTTAAGTGTGGTCATCTGCAGGAACCTATTCATTTGAGGCTGGGTCCCTGCTTTTGCATGAATTGGACCCTCAGATCAGCTGGTCTCAGCTCCAATCAGTGATTAGAAAGCTTTTAGAATAGAATGGTGGTTTTAGATACCTGGGCTCCGGCCCCCCAGCAATTCAGATTTAGTAAGGAGGAGGCCTGCATATCTCTATGGTTCTAAAATTGTTCCAGATAATTCTAAGGGTAGCCAATGTTGGGACCAAGTTACTTGATGTTTAAAATGTGGTCCATGAGCCAGGCATCACCAAGAACTTGTTAGAAATGCAGATTTTGTGTCCACCACAAACCTAATGAGTCAGTCCCTGCATTTTAACACGAGCCCCAGATGATTCTTTGCATTGAATTTGAGAAGCACTGCGTTAAGTCAACCCAGTGCCAGCACTTAAAGGTCGGTGCTACTCTGAGCAGGCTGCAGTGTCTCCCTACAGGGCTAAGGAAGAGCCTGGCCTGTCCTGGGCCCCAAGGCAATGGTCAGGAGACCCTAGTCTTCTGGGATTGGGCCAGACACCAACAAGGAGTGAAGCCTGAAGGACCAAATCAGGCTGCTTGCTCAGAATGGGTTGGGTCCTAGCTTGCTTCCTCTGGGCTATTCTGAAATCACTGATTAACACACAGTGCCTCTCATTCTTACTGGACAGTATCAGAATTACAGGTGGAGTGAACTGAGGTAGGCAAAGGAGTCCCCCTTATTGGGGGAAGGACTAAACATATGTTTTTTGAAACCATTGCAATTTTTAGTACTCCAGGTAACCATGGTGCATAAGGCGTTTGACTGCTTAACTCGAAGGTTGGCAATTCAAACCTACCACTACTCCGCAGAGGGAAGATAGGGCACTCTACTTCTATAAAGATTTACCACCTTGGAAACCCAGTGGGGGTGGCTGTGAATCAGAATCGACTTGATGGCAGTGGGTTTGGTTTGTTGTTGTTGTTGTTGTTATGTGCCCTCGAGTCATCTCCAACTCATAGCGACCCCTCCTTGGGTTTCTGAGGTGGTATCACTGCGGAAGTAGATTACCCAATCTTCCTTCCAAGGAGTGGCTGGTGGGTTTGAACCACCAACCTTCTGGTTAGCATTCAAGTGCCTTAGGCCACCAGAACTCCAGGGTTTGGTTTGGGTTGGGTGAAATACATATAAATTGCCTCAAGCTTTCTCTCCTGGCAAATTGTTAATGCTGTTGTTAATACAGCATTTTCTAATAGACCCTCCTTGCAAAGGTTACACAGATGATTAAAAAAAGAAATTCAGCTGGGCCTTTACTGCTCCCAAGAATAAATCATCACATTTAAGTTTAAAGTGGGACTTTTTGCTCCTATTAAAAATGGTCAAAACTCAAAGTAATTGAACCATAAAGTTTATTCCTAGCAGTTACTCTGTATGTGGGCAGGGAGATCATTTCACCTCTAAAACCAAGTGACTCAAAGTAACCTACTTACAATTGTTAAAAATAAACCTTTGAATTAGCTCAATAAAAAATATTTGATTGTTTCGTGTTGTAATAAACAGTTTGCAAATTGGAGGAGTGAAGTCTCCCTGCATGAAAGGAAAATGAAGAAAGAAATGTTTCTAAGGATTAGAGATTTCACAGAAGCTTATTTATTTTTTTGTAATACAAGTTGTCATGGTGACCAAATACTTTATGGTTATTGAATTAACATTAAAAAGTGGTTCCTGGAAGTCATTTACCCATTTGTAACTGTGAGACTGCTTGTGTTTAAAATTGAGGAAGCACACAGTCTTTTTCATTAAATCATGAGGTAATGGATTAGCTATAGGCTAACCTTTTCTAGCTGGAAAAGAAGTTTACAATGCTGCAGAGCAGTGTCTGGTGAAAAAAATAAGTCAGTATTTTGCAGTTTGTGTCAAGCTTGTTTGTGGCTAAGTTTTGGTTTCATGAGTAAGAAAAACCCTTAAAAATCAAAATAAGATGTCTGTCTTTTTTTTTTTCCATACTACTGTTACCCTCAAAGTGGTAAGTACTTAGTATGTGATAAGGCAACCCCAACATTAACTGATGAAATTTGAAAAAGTCATGCTGTACTTTGAAAGGCCTGTAGCCATCATATATTAACCCAGAAATTTTTATAATTAGGCCTAACAACACAGGCCCCATATGATTGTAATTCACAGATGATACAGTCCATCGTGTGCAGTTTAGAAATCCTGTCAATTAGCTAACTTGAGCCTTCACCCTCTGTGTGGGACAAAGAATTCAACTTAGCCTTGTGTCTTTGGTTTCTGAAAATAACCCTTGGGCTTCCCCAGAAATCCAGGGTGTCTATGTTTTTCTAAAACAGCCAGGCAAATGAGTTAGGAGCTCAAAGACCACACTTGAGGAACTAACTTCAGGAATGAGGGGGAAACAATGGAATCACTCATGCGTATCCAGTGACTCAATCAATCGATAATACATTAAGGACTCCTGTCATGCACAGACTTTGAGGCCCCAGTGACTTACAAAGGGCCCTGGACCTTGGAGCTTCTGGATTGATGATGCGCAAGGGAGAACTCGCACCTTTCTAGGGATCTGAAACACAGTGCTGAAAGCTCCCTGACCTCACCTGTGTATATCTTCGTGCATTTACTTCTGTGGTTATATAATAAGGTTATAGTGAGTATAGCCTTTCTGCCAGTTCTGTGAGTCATTTTAGCAAATTATCAAGACCATTTGAAAGCCAGCAAGACCTGGTGTCTGCCTACTTGGCAGCTAATTAGAGTCCTAACTTGTGAGGAACCAGCTTTGGATGGCTGGTGGGCAGGAGAGAGGTGTTCAAGCAGTCATTTTGAAAAGACCTAACTGGGTGATTAGGGTCAGAGAGAAAACACCATGTGGGTGGATGATGTCAGAGATGAAGAAATGGGAAAGTAGGGATATGAATTATCTTTGCATTTTGAGGACTGGCCTTGTTTGAGTCATTTTTAATGCAGCGACATCTGTAACAGGTTGATGTCATTCATTCAACAAACATTTAGTGCTTTTCTGGGTCAAATTGAGGTAAGCATTGAGACTATATACATAACATGATGAATCTCTGGCAGACATGAGTTTCACAAAGCTGTATATGATATAGTCAAGTGTTGGAATAGTGAAAATGCTATGGTTTATGGAGGTCTACAAGAAGACTCAATGAATACTTGGGGATATTGGCAAAGATAACATTTGAGCTGGCTTTTAAGGATAAGTTCTTCAAGATGAAAAGAGATGTGGCATAAACAAAATGACATGTACATCCAAAAACTTTAATGTATAGTGATTTGTACTTCTGTAAAACATTTTTATTTCTATAATAAAATGTAGGTTAAGTGATTTGCCTAATGTCATAGCTCTTAAAATTCAAAGAAATTGAAAGATAAGGTTGAAACTGAGCAGTCATTCTGTGTGCATGCGAGG